CTGCCATCTTGTTGGCAGTTAACTGCCAATCTTAGTTGGCAGTTAATTTGCATATAGCCCTGATTAGCCAATGAAAAGGGTAGCGTCGTACGCCAATTACCATTTTTCTCTTTTATTAGTGTAGATATACACACACACACACACACACACATATATATATAATTTTTTTTTTAATAAAAAGATCCAGTGCTCCTACAGAAGAAGTCACACGGATACTACATCCTTGTAACGCCTGTGCAGACCCTCCGATTCAAGATTTCATATGTGAGGCATGAGATGTGACTATCTGCATCCATCATGTGAGACGCATGACTTAAATGTTACCAGTGGTCTCTGAACTGTCAAACGCTGTTTGAATTCAGGTCTTTTTCTGTCAGTGCTCTCTTGTCACAGGTGTGAAGCTTTCTGTGTGTGCTCTTGAAACACACAGGACAAAGCACTGGACATTTTACATGGAAAGAGCAGCCGTAAGCAGAGCACACGGGGAAGCACAGGGGACGGGCTGCGGCCCCGTGGACATGGGCCCGAGGACCACCGCCGCCGCCCCGCTGGCGCCGCACCTCGTAGAAGCCGCGCACCAAGCTCTCCGTCTGCTGCACCACGCCGCGCTCGATCCGCCACTTCACCATCCTCTCGATGTACTCCTTCTTGTTCTTCTCCGTGACCGGGATGTTGGCACCCCCGGGCTTCAGCTCGCGCTCCGTGATCTGGGGTCAACACAAGAGGGCTGACAATGAAGTGAGCCCTCGAGGGGGTGGGAACACTGTCCCACAAGGAGGTGCGAGGGGCGCGCGGGGCCCACGCTCACACCACGGCTCAGTAACACGGAGCATTGAACGGGTGTCCCAGAGCCTCTGTGGTTAAAACATATGTATTGCCAGTGGCGAAGATTAAGTTTTAAAAATCCTGACTAAACAGATAAGCCTTTTAAATGACGATAAACTGGTTCCAGATTTTGGGCCACTGCTAGTTGGATATTTGACAAAAACGCATTTTCTCAAATTCCTTTAGGGTTCCGAATCAACCACACATAGAAAGCCCATATTTAAGTAAAGACTGACTTTAAGGAAACAGAATTACATTCAAGTGAACATTAAATTGAGAACTTCCAAAACACAAAATTCAGAAAAGCAACCAAATATTAATGTCTAAATAAGATTATTACTTATGAACTATTATGTAATTTCTGAAAGAAATCTTTTAAGCAACCCTTCCATCGACTTTGTAAAAAAAAAATCAACATTGGTTGATTGGTCAATATTTTCAAATCTTCACTAAAATATTGTTTACTTTCCCTCAGCTTCGAAATAACCAATTTCAGTTCTGAAATATGAATGAGAGTTAAATCCCAGTGCCAATTAAGTAATTCAACATTCAACTCTGGGGTAGCATAGACTTTTAAACATTGTGTTTAAGGCACATTCTAATGCCTTACATGGTTATTTTAGTTGGAAATAAAAAGGACGTTTACAACACACAATAGCTGTCACACTCTGTACACTAGAACACCTTCATCCGCAGTTGGCATGAGAATCATCTTTGCCACCACGATGATTGTAACTGTACACAAACTTGGGTTTAAACCACCCAGCAAGTCACACGTAAATACGCATCTGATCTTAGCCACCAAGTCATTCTTCACCGACCAGCCGCCTCCAGTCACCACACTGAGACACCGGCTGTGCACACCCACAGACCTGCCCGAAGACTTCTTCGTTCACAGTGAAGGTGAGGTCCAGGATGTCATGGATGTCGTTGTCCTTCATCCACTGCAGGCTCTGGTGGAACTCTTCATCCAGGTACTCGAGGTCACTCAGGTCACACAGACTAGGACGACACACAGACGCGAATAAACACATGGGCACGGCCAACAGCAAAACCCAGAGTCACCAGGAAAGAAACGAAGAATTAAAGACAAGAAAAAGATCAACACAATAGGCACTTGTTTCTGAAATGTACTTATTAGTCAAAGGCAGTAACCAAATCCGTGAAATCAGTTAGAAATTTGTTATACAATTTAACATCCTGGATGTTTATAACACATCTTAGGAATCACCCAGTCTGACCTGTCAGAGACAGAGAGAGTTGGAGGTGCAATGAGTGACGGCCATCGGCACAGTCACCCACAACTCGTGCCCCAGAAGAGACTGGAACTCAGGCTGACAAGTTGGGTCCAGTGCCCTTTTGGCTATGTTACACTGTCTTATACAGTGTTGTCCTAATTAGAAATTCTTCGTATGTTTCTGTAATGCACGTGAGCTTTTCCTCCCTAAAGACCAGATATGGTCCACGTTTACATACATCCCCTTTTTCTTCATGGTTCTCACTTTTTCCATGATTCTGAAAACAGCAAGCCCCAGAGTCTCTCTCTATAATTACAAGGGTTTTCTATAGTGCTCTCCTCTTTTTTCCT